TCAGGCACTTCAAAGTCAACCTGCCTTTCAACTCAGACTCCAAAGAACACAGAAGCCAAGTCTGTGGACAGCACTGATGTGGAAGGGTTGGGGAGAAAGAGGCCCATGTGCCTTGAACACTCTGTGCCAGCCTCTGGATTCAGGGCTTGAACAATATCTCACTGAAGCCCCCACAACTGTCCTGTATAAACCAGGTATTGTCTGCATTGTTTAGATTTGGAGAATGAGGCTCAGAGAGGTGGGGTAAACTTGTCCCATGCTACAGGGCAGAGGTGGAATCTGATTTTAAAGCCCACACTAAGTTCAAGGCACCACACCAACACCCAAGGCAAGGCTCAGCACCAAGAATCATTTCCCACATGGAACCTGCTGAAGGCCCATTAGACGTCCTGTCTAGCTTCAGTGGCCTGCCTCCCCATTGCCTAGGGCATGGCTGAGCACTGCCTGCCTGCAACATCCTGCCTGTCTCCTCCTGTTCTCTTCCTGCTCCTCCTCTATCTCTTGAGTGTACTCTTCTTCCCTCAAATGGTACTTGAACACCAATGCCTCAGAGATCTGATCTCAGGATCTGTCCTTCTACCCTGCACACTCTCCCTGGGAGAGTCTAATCCACCCCCATGGCTCTAAATGCCAGGCAAGACCTTCCAGACTGGCTGCTCCAGCTCCAATATTTCACCTGATCTAACTCATTTACTCACATTTCTGCTAAGCCTCTCTATTTGAGTATCCCACGGGCACCTCAAACTCAACGTGTTCAGAATAGTTCATCTTTCCACTGGACTACCCCTTCTCTACATATTGCTTTGCTCATTTCAATCAGTGGCATCACCATCCTCAGTTCCTCTGGCCTGCTGCTTCTTCATGCCCCGGCCCAATCAGCCACACAGTGCGGAGTATCCTACCTCCTAGGTGTGCTTTAGATTCTGTGCCCGTCTCTTTGCCCCTGCTGATGCTGTCCCACTTTGTAACACAGCCATCTACTAACTCCTTCACCAGAGCTTTGCGTCCAGATTTGCCTTCCTGAATCCACCCATCACAGAATCAGCAAAGAATCTTTTTAACATGTAAATCTTTCTATATCAGTCTGTATATTTCAGGACTCTCTTTGCTGTCGAGAACCAATACCAAACTGATTTATGCAAAAGGGAGAAGATATTGGTTCTTGTAACTTGGAAAGTACATCCAGGTGCTCAGAAAATGGAGTGTCCGTCTTCACTGTTCAGCTCTGCCTTTGTTTGTGTGTGGACATCCTCTTCGTTGGATCATTCTCAGTAAGACTATCCTTGTGGTGGCAAGGTGGACAGTAGCAGATCCAGGTATTTATTGGAGCAGCATAGTATCCTCCAGACAGAGCCTTGTTCCCATGAGTTCCATTCCAACCCATAATTATTCCTATGTAGTCCATCTTGGCTCCACGGTTAGCCTCTGAGTCAGTCACTGTGACCTAAGGAATGACATACTGTTAGCTCAGGTGCACAGTACATGCTACCACCCTGTACTCACCTCATGCACATGAGCTAGGAGGCAGGAGAAGGGTTCCTTAAAACATACAGGGACCTTTATCAGAAAAGAGGGAAATGGATTCTGGACATGACAAAGCTCCCTCTTCAAATCTTTCAACATTAGGATGGCTATTATCCAAAAAACAAAAATAATAAGCATTACCAAGTACATGGCACTGCTAGTGGGAATCTAAAGAGGGCAGCTGCTGTGGAAAACAGGATGGCAACTTCTCAAAAAATCACATGAAAGTACCCTGAGATCCAGTATTCCCGCTTCTGGACATGTACTCAAAAGAATTGAAAAGAGAGTCTCAGAAAAGTATTTGTATATCAATATTCATGGCAGTATTATTCACACTATCTAAAAAGTAGAAACAACCCAATGGGTAAATGGATAAAGAAACTGTCAATGAGTTGGGGTGTAGCGAAGTTGTAAAGGCTTGTCTAGCATGTATGAGGCTCTGGGTTGATCCTCAGCACAAGCAAGGATGGGAGGGAGAGGGGGAGAGAAAGAAGGAAAGAAGGGAAAAAAAGAAAGAAACTTGGTGTATACAATGGAATATTCGTCATCCTTCAAAAAATGTGAGATTTGATATATGTTATAGCATGGATGAAACTTGAAAACATTATAGTAAAAGTGAAACAAGCCAGAAGACCAGATATGGTTTCACTCATATGGTCTACAGAATAATCAAATTCATAGAGAAAGAAAATAGAATCATGGTTATCAGGGCTGGAGAAAGAAGGAATGGAAGTTATTTCATTTAATGGGTGCAGAGTTTCAACTTGGAAAGATAAAATGTTCTGGAGATGGATAGTGGGGATGGATGCACACAATGAAAACGTACTTAATGCCACTGAATTATAGACTTGTAAGAAATTAAAATCGCAAATTTTGTGCATATTTTATCACAATTTTAAAAAATAACTGTCAAAGTGACACAGCCACATTGATGTTCACAGTAGCACAATTCACAATAGCTAAGTTATGGAGCCAACCTAGGTTCCCTTCAACAGATGAATGGATAAGGAAAATGTGGTACGTATACAATGGAGTATTACAGTATTCTTCTCAGCCATAAAGAAGAAGAGCATTGTAGCATTTGCTGGTAAATGGATGGAATTGGAGACTTCATGATAAGTGAAATAAACCAGTCCCAAAAAGTCAAAGGACAAATATTTTCTCCAACATGTGAAAGCTAATCCAAAATTAGGTGAAAAGAAAGAATGGAAGAAAGATTAATGGAGAAGACAGAGGGCAATGAAGAGGGCAATGAAGAGAAGAGATGAAGAATGACTAGGGAAAGACAGTGGAATGAATCTGAACTTTCCTGTGTACATCTATAAATATACCACATTGAGTCTCACCATCATGTACATCCACAAGACACTAATTGCAAAAAAAAAAAAAAAAAAAAAAAAAACTCTAAGTAAATAGCAGAAAGATCAGTAGAGCAGCGGAAGAGAACAGGAAGTGGAAGGAAATCAGGGAAAGGGAAGTACTGGGTACTGAATTAGAACAAATTATATCCCACACTTTTATAATTATGTCAAAATAAATTCTATTGTCATGTAAAAATAAAAAGAATCAATAAAAAAATTTAAAAAGTAAAAAGAACTGTCAACAGCCCCCGCCCCCGCCGCCGTCACTTTCAAGATTAAGTCTGAGCTGAGTTCCTAAGCAAGCTACACAAAGTCCTTTTAGACCCAACCCCTACCTGCTTCCTAACTTGCAATGCCCTCCCTACCTCAAAAGGACACTCTCCACCAGCTTTCTGCAGTGGTAGAAATATCCTATATCTGTACTGTCCTGTAGTAGCTACTTGCTATATATGGTCATTGGCACTTGCAATGTAGTTAGTGTGACTAAGAAACTGAATTTTAAATCTTAATTAAGTTAAATTTAAATAGCCATGTATGTCAGTGGCTACTCTACCAGATAGTACAGTTCTAAAACAGTGACGTCAGGTTATTTTATAGCTCTATGCCTTTGCTCTGCTAATGATCTTGGATGTTCCTAACCACTCTTTGAATTTCCACACTCGGCTAAGCACGGACACCTCCAGGAAGTGGGGCTGGGAAGTACTCCCGGACACTTAGTGTCATGGTAACTTCTCACATTCTAGTTTTCTTTCAAGCATGCACTTATTCATTCCTACAACTCTTTGCTAGGCTCTGGAGATGTCACAAAGACAAACCCAGTGCTTGCTGTAGAGCTCACGATCAGTCTTTTTTCCAGCAACCCTCAATAACTCTGTTCCTCCCATTAGTCAGGACCTAATTTCCTCTTCTTATAAGGACACCAGTAATATTGGATCAGGGCCCAAACTAATGATTTCTTTTTATCTTAATTGCCTCTTTAAACACCCCATCTCCAAATACAGTTTACATTCTGAAGTACTAGAGGTTAGAATTGCAACATATGAAATTTGGTATGGGAACAATTCAGTCCAGAACACCACACCACTTTAAGGACAAACACAATTCTGCCTTGCTCAAAATCCATAGAGTTCCTCCATGTACAAGCTTAACCCCAGGTCGGGGAATAGCAGCATACTTCTCTAACTAAATCCTTATCAGAAAACCATTATTCCTCTTTCTTTCAGAACTCAGCAAAACATTCAGCCAATTTAAATGACCAAGTAGAACACACTGCATCATCTGCAAATACCTTTCAGTTCCCTCACAGTTTGCTCCAAAGATAATGGTTGAAACTTTTCTTTGTGACAAAAGAACCAATCTTAGGTAGAGAATCAAATAGCTAGCAAACAAAGCCCTACGACCCAGGGCTGTGTCCTTAATACATTTTTAAATGTAACAATGTAATAAAAACTTACTTCTCTAAAAAAACTAATTAGAATATCCCAGTATGTTTCTTTAAAAAAAAAATCATTCCCTGAAGCCATCCCTTACACACACACACACACACACACACACACACACACTTGCAAAGGTACATATGCTATATGCATACTGTCTTAGTTAGGATCAACTTCTGTGAGTAGCAGAAACCTCCAAATTATGGGGCTTGGGCAAGATAGGAATGTTTTTTCTATCTCAGGTAGCATACAGTTACACTCTCCAGTGTTCCTCCAGAGCTCCACAGGGTCGAGGCCCAAAGCTCTCACCTTGGTGCACCACCACCACCATCTGTGGCCTGCATTCCCAGGGTCATCTTCTTGTTGCAGATGCTCTCACCTAATATGTTTTAGCATGCAGATAGGAAGAAACTTCCTGTACGAATAGCTGTTGCTCACATCCCGTTGGTTAGAACTTAACTACATGGCCACATCTAATGCAAGGGACTTTGGGAAATGTGCCCTTTGTCACAATGGCCATTTGTCCAGCTAAAAACTTGGAGGATTATTACTTTTGAAGAAGGGAGCAACTAAATGAACACAGTATTGGTTTATAACCTAAAGTATAAAACAGATATCCATGAGTCCACAAGATAAAAGTAAATGATTAAATAAATGAATAGATAGGGGAGACCGAACAAACCTTCCAAATAATTTATTTAGGTTCTCCACCCTTAAGAAGAGACAGCATAATTTCTGACTCCTTAAGTGTGGGCTTCACGTGGTAACTTTCTTTCAAAAAGAACACTAAGGAAAAGATGAAAAAAAGTAACTTTACAATGGAGAATCCTGACAAACACTACCTCCAGTCAGGTAATCAAGGTTAACATCAGTGGTGATAATTCCTATTGATGGTGTGGATCCCTTGATGTGACGTGATGAGGTCTCTGGTTCTCTTTTCCAAAACACATGACTTCAGTCTAACCATGACAAAAAACATCATACGAATCCCAGTTGAGGGACTCACTAAAATACCTGACCAGCACTCCTCAAAACTGTCATCAAATGCCAGGAAAGTCTGGGAAACCGTCACAGCCAAGTGGCTCAAGGAGACGAGAGTAATAAACGAAATACGGCTTCCTGAATGGAATCCTAGAAAAACAACCACCACAAAAAATTAATAACAACATATCAAAACTGGTTTATGAATTGTGGCAAATGTTCTGTACCAGCATAAGGTATTAATAATAGAAGCAATTGAACCATGATACATATGGGAACTCTCCTATCTTTTCTATATATCTGAAACTCTTCTAAAAATTGAAGACTCATTTTGAAAAAATAAAGGGAGAACTAGATCGTGGAGGACAGCTGGCAGCCTCCCCCAGCCACATACCCGGGAGCTATTTCTTTGTACCCCTAAATCCAAGATATGTTCATGCTAGAAAGGACCTTTGAGGTCTTTTGGCTTCTCCTCCAAAATGACAAAAAAGCCTAATGAAGCCTTAAAAAGGGCTTTGCCTGCTGTTTCCCAGCCAGCTGCTGGATAGAACCAGAAGCTGGAAAGCTTGACCAGGGGCCAAGTGCTCTCTCTCCACTGTTGCACGGGGCCTCCCTGTTCTCCAGATTCCAGGGTGTCCACGGCTGCCTCAGGGGATACCCCAGCATGGTGGTGGAAAGCACTCTGCCATTAGCTGTCCTTCCAGCCATGGTGAGTCGCTCGGTCTCTCTTAGCAATGACCTCCTCACCTGTAAAATGAGATAGTGCTAAAGTCCCTGCTTATCTGAACAGGATTGCTGTAAGGTTCAAAACCCAGATAAACATCGGACATTTACATGCTGTATCAGACCAGTGGCGGGCTCCTTGACATATTGAAATTTCATGACACAGTCCAACAGGGTGGGCCCAACACACATTTGTTTACTCAACATGTAGCTAGTATTATCTGTCAAAATTGGAAATACAAAATTTGGTCATGGTACTTTTACTTTTTTTAATTAATTGCCAGAAGCTCCTTATTAATAGGATGTTCCAATGTCTCTTTCTCACAACTCCTTGCTCCCTGATCAATCATCCAGGAAAACCTAGATTTTCATGCATAGCCGGACCAGGAAGTTTGGAAGCTTGCCCAAACCACCCTTCCTCCATTTTTCCTTGCAATGTGTTGCTGCAGCTGAGAAGCGATGATTACAGAGTCAGACAGGGAGGGGAACTGATTCTCCAGGAACAGTGTCTCCCAGGTCCCGATTCCTGCACAGGACCATTGGGCTTCTCCCAGGAAGGGCGGCACCATTTCCTCAGTCCTCAGTGCTGACTGCACAACTCAGGCTACCCCACTTCTCTTCCTGCTATGCAGTTCCTGGTACCCAGCTCTCTCCTCTTGCATATTTGGGTACTCATTAGCCTCAGAGGCACTGGGCTGGTCTTGATTTCTAGAGTCTACTGCCTCAGGAGTCCAGAACCACCTTCTCTCCCTTCCTTCTTAGGCTCCGCCTTTGCAGTTCAGCTGCTTTGTTTTTCTCGGAAACTGTCAAACCCAAGTTATTCAACCCCTTTTTTAGATGTTGGAGCTCCTTACTTATCTTCCTCCTATGGTAGACTGAGTTCCCTTGAGTCATCTTCAGTGATGCAAAGACATGTTAGCCACCTAAGGGAGACTCCCAAGTGATTCCCCTCTGCCCTTTCAGGGAGGCAGTATTACTCTTGTGACAGCAAGGACACTTTTCTAGCACCAGTAATAGAAGGTATGACCTTTTACTGAAGGAGACCTTATAATACCTTAATAAGGCATTTTTCCATAAACAAAGTAAAATTGGACATTGCCTACAATGTCCTAGGTGTTGTGTTTGGCATAGGGAATGGAGAAACTGTACATTAAGGAAGGTACATCCTAGGATAGGAAAGGAACAGGGGATTACCAGGCCGTTCATAAGTATTGAGAGGCACTCAATTCTTGCTGAGAGACTGATGGGGGCCTCTCCAACATGCCAACAAGGAGAGGCCCCCATCAGTGTCTCAGCAAGCAGCCACCCACAGCAAGTCTGGATGTTCAAGGCTTTTCTAGTGGAGATGAAACTCCTGGGCATGGATAATGATTTGGGGTTTTAAATAGAGGCATGGAGGAGAAGGTATGGGAATCTTCTCAATGATAACATCATTTAAAAAAATATATATGAAATCAGGTAAGAAAAAGGAAAGAAGTTTTAGAAAAACAGAGACTCTTGTATTAGTCTAGATTCCTTTGGTTGAATGACAGAGACTTTAATCAAACTAGTTTAGGTCAAACAGGGAATTAGAAAGATGTTGGACAAAAATTAGAAATCAGGGCAGGAACAGAGAAGCAACTTGAGATTGGAGCTTAGATACCACCATGACTCTCAGACATTCCTCTTTGAGGGGAATGTCCCCCAGACACTTGTCTTCTCCCCCAGACCTACTGCCTTTGCTCAGTAGGTTACACGGCTTAGAAAGCTCCCGAGTACAGCATCCAGGGACTGCCACTCTCAGAGACAGATCATCTTGTCTTGATTCCAATTTAGAAATCCCCAGGGAAAGATTTTGATTGGTCTTGTTTGGGGTTATTGTCCACTCCTAGACCAATAAACAAGAGCCAGGGCTCAGGGAGGAGACAGTCATGTTGCCCAGAAAAACCCTGAGAGACCCTTTTGGTGCCAATCCTGGAGAAGGGGAAACTGTGAACCAAGAACCACCTGAACCAAAAATCTCCTCCTAGTGCAATGCTCAGAACATCCTGGAATAAAAGTGGTCACTTTCCTTGGAAATTGTTCCCCGGTTTTTAATCATTTCATAGTGAAAACCCTTGAACAAGCTTGGAAATACTGGTCAAATAGGCTAAATCTGTGTAACCACATACAGTAATACTTTTCTTATTATTTTCTAGTCACCCAAAAGTTGACTGAAGTAAATAAATATGAACTGCTTACATATATCTAGTATTCTCCTAAGCACTGGAGGGCAGGGAAGGGAGTAGGAATGAGAAGAAATAAGGCTCAATGTCCACTCTCAGGTAGTTTGCTCACTATTAGAGTCACCTTGGATCAAAATGCATCTTGGAGATCATCAGAGAGCTGGGGGACTGGGAGGGTGGCGGGGAGGATAGGTCATAAGAAGCTGAACAGGTGAACTCGGAGTTCCAGGTCTCCTTCTAGAATCTCTCCTGCCAAATCTGATCTACTATTGGCATTTTAAATGAAATCCTGTTTGTAGAAAAGGGTTTTACTCCTTCGAAAACTTTTAACTATGGATCCAATTCAGTCCCCTTGTTTTGGTTCTAGAGATTCTATTGTCCAGGAGATCTGCCTATTAATTGCATTTCATCCTCTCACCCATGTGAAGATCTGGCTAAGGCAGGCAGGGATCTGGAACCTCTCTTTCTGACCCCCCCCCCTCCCAGGTCACTGTTCTGCCACCAACATTCACCTTACTCACATGAAACAGCTAGATAAAACCACCACCAAGGGAGCTCACGTGCAGATTCAGGGAAGAGAGACCATTTTCTTGAACCATTCACTATTCAGAAGCGTATTGACCAGTGTCCTGAGTAGAAGGTAGGAGAGGTGAAAAAGACAAGAAGGAAAAAGAAATCTAGCACACCTGAGGCCACGTACCAGGCACTGGGTCAGGTGCAAACAGCATGAAGAGAGACAGAAGGAGAAAAGGAAGGACGCAGAATGAGTAGGAAGAGAGAGAGATGGGGCTGCAGAGGCCAGGTCAGCCAGAGAGTTCCAAGAATCAGAGCTCAAACAGCCGTTTCTTCCTTTGTCTTTCTGTTACGGATATGAAGTCCTGAAGTTCCAAGCAATATTTTCTCAGGAGTTCATAATCAGATGCTTTAAAATAGGTTATGCTGCCTGCAAATGCTTAGACTCTAATGGCGAGTGCTTATTGAGAGCTACTCTGTATAGACGCTGTGATCAGAGCAACAGGACCTGGGCAGCTATGGTGGGATCACAATTTGTGTCCCTACCAGCCGATATCCCATTGACCAATCGTCACTGGCTGAGAGGGAGACAAACTGATTTTCTACTAATATAATTTATATACATCTTTTCTGATGTTCAAAACAAAAGAGAATCATTTCAGGCACCGAAACGTTTTAACTTAATTAGAATTGCCTTCCATTTCACTGATTTTTACTCTCCTAACTGAAGAGTATTCCTTTCAAAGCGTAGAGATAACTTATATTGATAGAGTTGTAAAATCTTGTTCAGATTTTGCTTAAAAATCTAATTTCTCTGACTTTCAGATGGACGGCATGTTTCCCGTGTGTTCATTCTGGTTTTCCTTTATGATTCTTTACCGAGACAACTGCTTGGGAAGCCTGGTATCAGGATTCTAATTTAGAGAAAAGTATAATTCTCCAGAAGGCAGTTGTAAGACAAGCATCACTAGATCTCGGATTTGCAGCTAGCTGTAAGTGCTGGTCTTAGGGCAGGTGGTGGCAGGATCTGTTTGGACCAACAACACTAGCCAATCAGGGTTTTGTTGTTGTTGTTTTCTCCTCTGAAGGGCACTGTCCTCTGTAGAACGAGGTCAACTCCATCTGGCCAGATACATCAGGATCATGTATAGAAACCTGAGTTACTGGTACCATTTTTGTAATTTATTTCTAGGTGTTTGGCATCCCTTAAACGTTGATCCTAGACAGCTGCCCTGAGGGTCCATGTTTTAATCTGGCTTTCCTTGTGCCAACTGTTCACATGCATGTAATCCTCACAACAACGCTAAGAAAATAAATAAAATTATTATGACCATTTTATAGACGAGAAAATCGAGACTTAAAACAGTAACTTGCTTCAGAACAAACTAACCAGAAAGCAACAAAGTCAGTGTTTGTTTCAACCAGAACATGAAACTCTGAAGTCTGAGCTCTTACAGTATACACCACTCTATATTGACTCCTCTAGGAAAGTAAGTATGCCTTTCATTTATATTCATATTGTAGAGTTTTTGCCAAAATAGCCATTTTCGACTTGAGAATCCCAAAGTCAAAAGTACTGACTTTGGTTCACTAACTCTTTCAGTCCTTCTGAGGAAGAGTGTGAATCACAAGAAGAGCACAGGAATGGGGGGACCCAACTCTGAGTCATGGTGCCTGGTACACAGTAAGTGCTCAGTAAACACCAATGGGATCACAAAGCAAAAGTCGCTGTGTACAGTTGACGGTGCCTTTTTCCTTGGTGTTGAAGAAGACACTTTAAAGACTCTACAGTTCATACCAGCATCACAGGGGTTGTAAAACATTGCAGTGTAGCATCAAAAATCACTATTGTTTACTGAAAAATCTGTTCAACGTCCTTCAGAGGACAGAAATTGGGGAACAAGGATGATGTAGGAGACTTTTCCTCAAAGTAGCCCTCTGCCTTTAACTGCTATTTTGTTCAACTTGTGTTCCCTTCTCACTCTGTCCCAGGAAAAATCTCTAGGGAAATGAAATTAAGCTGTTTCCCAGATTTACTTTTCAAAATTAGTCCTGGGCTGGCCTTCAACACGGCAAACACGTTCTGTGTAGTCACTAGGGAGGGCTGCATTGAATTCCTGGACCAACTCTGAAGCTTTAGCAGCCAGACAAGCTGAACACGCTCAAGAAAAACAGCGGTGGGTGTTTTCGACTAATTACTGCCCACCATGCTGGTCTGTCTAGGGGCGGAAACCTCTATCCCGTGCCCCTTTTGTTCTTGCCCTTTGTTGGCAGTCTCGTCCGTTTGCTGCCCCTGCTCAGGTCTGGAGCTGGAGAGCTGTTACCCATGACTCCATCAGGTCACAGTGCTGCACCAGCACCCAGGGACCATCACCAGATCTGGTGCAGTTTCCCCATGCACACAGGCTCCCTTGCTCGGAGGTGGGAGGCGATGTGGTTTTTCTTGACACATGCGGCTGCCTGCCGTGGTGAGTCACAGAGGGCCCATCTGTAAAAGCTAGACATCGTCAAGGACTTGGCTTCATCATTTTCTTGGGAACGAAGAAATTCCATTTTAAATCTGCATATTCATCATTCTGGAGAAATAAACACAGTGTGAAACTAACTAAAATATTTAATAGTCAACATTTAATAATTCCCCAATCATATGTGGGACAAGATCTCATTCTAAGGAGTTGTAGCGCTCATACATATGTAATTAGGCAGGCAGTCTTCAAGAAAGCTATCTTTCTCTCCATAATAGATTTTCTTTCACTCATTGTGGGTTTTCAACAGATGGCCCCCAGGAGGAAAACTCGGCCTCCTCTGTCCTTTCCCTTACAGTACAGAAGTCAGGGAGCTTTAAGCATCATTGGAATTTCCTTCCTACCCAAGTCCTCCTTATCTTCTCCTCCTTAAAGCTCTCTTGGCACGGACATTCTCCCTAGAAGCAAACGACCGAAACCAGCAAAACAACAACAAAATCTTTTAAATGTAAACTATCTACACCTGGATTTAGATCCTGTCCAGGTAAGAACTCCTCCTGCAGTCAATCCTCATCTGAAACCAATCCTCTGCTTGCTTCTCAGCCACAGAAAGACAGTTGAGGCCCTGGGAAAATGTAATCTATGGGTTCCCTACAGGGGGATCAAGGGAGGGAATTTTCTGAGTCAAATTATCAATGAAAGTTTTTGCCAATAAAATTGTGGATTTCACCAGGGCTTATTTTTTTTTTAAATGCTTAAAATGGGCTAGATTTACAGGAACTGTTTGTGGTCGACCTTAGTAGATTCTATCCACAAATGCCACTTATTTTCTAACACACAAGAAATTAACGAAATCCAAACCAATCCCTCCTGCAACGACATTATTCAGTGGTAACAAGTCCCAATGTGAAGAATCCAGGTTTCCTTCTGTCTAATCATATGGCCATTTCCCCAACTGTTTCACACATGCTAATGGAGTGTGACAAGTAAAACACATTTGGCTCAGTATATGGTCTAACATGAAACGGCTTCACAACCAGGAAGCCGCTAATCATTTTTCCCCTAATCTACCACTGCTTTGGGGACGGAGGGTAGTTGGTATCTTCCCTGTCATGAGTGATTTCAGCGCACTGATCAGGCTAGACTTGACAGATTCTTTATCAATGTCAAAGTCTTCTGTGGGTAAGTCTAGTGACGCTAAAACAGAACTCCTCATAGATATTAGATACATGGTGGCATTCTGGAATCCTCTTGCAGGCAATATTTTTTGGTCAGCCTAGGAAAAGAAAAATGGAGTGAGGGCTAAAATCGGAGAAAAGACGCAGCAGAAGTCTTGGCAGTTATTTTTGTGGAAGTCAGACAATGTGAATGACAAGGGACCAATTGCTCTTTCCCTCCTCCATTTATGTTAAAATAGAACAAAGAAATTGGCAACAGAGAAAGCCGTGATCTAGGAGGAGGGAACTCCATCTCAATCGGCTTTGAATTTCAGGAAACAGAGAGGTAGCCTAAAAAACACGGACCCCACACAGGCGCCCACATACACCCATATGTACATGCCCACCCTTATCAATTAAGTTCATAAATTTTCCTCATGGGTGTTTTGATCAATTTGGTGAGGTTAATCTCTTAGACCTTGCTGACTTTATCAACTCTCCCAACTTCTAACATTAGCAAAAACTACCTTAGAAAAAGTAGAATCCATGCATGTCTGAACTAAAGTTCCTTCTTGGAAACACTGAACACTGTTTTCTTTCAGTAAGAGAAGTCTGCAATTCTGTCAATAGTGTGCCTTTCCAGCAGTCTAGCCATGAAAATTCACTATGGAGAATGTTCTCTTTTTTCAGTTTATAACAATGGCTATTCCACCAGCAGAACCCTTCATACGTGCATGCTGTGAGACCTAAGCATATACGTGAGAAAGAAGTCAACTGCCTCCCCCAACCCCACCCCAAATAACTAAAATACCCCAATCACTTGCTGAATCTGAAGTGTGTAAATTCAAATTTCGGAATACCACTATCAGAATACAGAGTGCACAAGCTTTTTAGCCTTTTAGAAAACAAAAGCCAAGCGTAACAAAATTCTCAGCAGGCCATAAACGGACAGTGCAAAGAAGTACTCTAAGTGTTGCATGCTAACCTGGAATTGTTATTTGTTACACCATCAAACTGGTAAATTAATATGAACGAACAATCCGTACTGCACATCCCGAGCCCTCAGCCTTCACATGCTCCTCTGTATTACACAGTTAATGGCTGAAGCACTTTCAATATTTTATCTGATTTTTTTTTCTTTTGTGTACTAATTTAGAAAGTTGGTACTTTAATGTAATTGAACTCAGTGAAGCTAAAAACGTCCAGACCTTTTTAATAAGGTGGCTTTCAATACTCAACTTTGGGGTCTGTTGTCTTCCGAAGCAGACACTTAACTCCTCTCAGCACTAGTGGCAGTTGTGCACAGACAGGGAGTGAGAAACATGTATCTCTTTGTCTCTTTGTACCAAGGTCCAAGGAGTGGCAGAGGTCAGGGACAGACAGGAAAAAAGAAGAACAACTTTGAGATTGAATAAAGGAGGTAGAGTTATAGATTCATTTGCAAAAATGAAATGTGTGATTAATACTCCCCAATTTGAGGGAGCACACACCTTTAGTAAGCAAGATGAGGAGAAAATTTCTAAATCATTTTGAATAATACCCAAAGCATGCTTCTCTGAGAAATCTGTTTCCCTCCATCCCCAGCATATACATTAAACTCATTTTGCACTTGTTATATACATAATGATTCTAGACAACATAAGACTATTTCATGATTTTTCTCTTATCATTTTTACTTATCTACCAGTGAGCCAATTTATGCAGCTTAAACCATTGCTAAAGAAGATGCATCAAAAATTGTCTGTAATCATTACAAATAATAGCACAAAATGTTCACAAGAAGCTGTTTTCTTATCATATTTTCATTAAAACATCTTTTCACCTGCTTTGCTTTTCCCACGTCTGGAACCTGCGTTGTAATCAGTCTTATTAACTGAGAACATAAATATGATTTATTATGGTCTGATAATGGAAGCTACGTGGACCCAGAGAAGGGCTATATTGTCCTTTGATAAAATGGCTCTTTTCTCTCAAATGGAGAGCTCCATCATGAGAACATGCAGAATGTAGTGAGTGATTATTTCCTCAGGGTGAGTGATGGAGGAGCCCGACAGAAAATCTTCTTGTTGACCATGACAGCCGCAGAGGGTCCCCAAACCTCCCTGAGTTTGACAACCTGCAGACACTTTTGATGAACTGTATTCTTCTGTCAGAGACAGCCTGTCTGGGAGGAGAAAAGAGACCTTTATCGTCTGATCGGCTATTATTGTCTTGATCTTTTATAAGCAATCTCTAATGCACATGAATATAATATCCTTTCACACAAGTGCCAAGCATAATGGCAATGTAGTTAAAGGACCCTCTCCCTGGTTATGTAAATGTCCTTACACCATAATTAAGAGAGATGGTTTGTGACTGATAGGAGAAGGAAAGAGTAATCAAATTGTTTTAGCATTATCTTCCTATTTTAAAGACTTCAACCCCTTGGTAAAAAGCATTTGTGGTAGACATAGGGAACCAGGTTATTCCGAAGTCTTCCACTAAAAGGAAAAATATAGTTTTGAATATGGTATTGGTGTTATATTTTTATTATTAAACATGCAAATGGCAGCTGGTTTTTAGCCAAGAGTGATTACTATGCTGATAGGACTTAGAAGAAAATGAGTATGTCTCTCAGAATACTTGTCTGAGGGTTACAGCAAGAACAAAGACCTATTAATAAGGCATGCACTTCCAAAAAGGGGTCTTGGAGTCCAAATAAAGTTCTCCAATAAATTTCCCTCTTATCCATTCCAGGAGCCGAAACACAGAAACAATATATTTCAATTAACAAATATATTTGCAGGCAAAATGCCTGCAATTATTGGGCAATTAAATCTACTATTTACATGGCCCTCAGGAGCCATCTTCACTTCTGAACTGTGAAGGATAGTTCTAGATGGAACTTGTTTGGATTTGGTAGCAAAAGTTTTCTGACCTTCCAGATAAAACCCAACCAGACTTGTGGAGGACAGGCCAGCTCTAGCTCCAGGAGGCCAACATCCTGATGCTCAATCTCACCAGCAGACGGAGAAAAAGACATCACCCATCCTAAAAATTTTAATCCCCTCCCACCCCCAGAAAAATACAATACTTAATTTTTCATTAACCTTCTGACATATGGAGTCCATATCCCCAATCACTAGTGAGTTTCACATTACCAATTAGTGGAGAAAAATCTGCAGCGCTGGTGCCAAAGGGTTAATCATTAGTTTCACGCCATTGGGTGGTCCGAGGTGGAAGAGCAGCCTCTGAACCAGAAAGGGTGTAAGGAGCCAGGAGCTGGGGAACCCTCTCACTTTCTCACTAGGATAGCTGTGGCTCACAGGCACTGACCTCCCAACTCCTTCCCTGGCAAACTGCCTTCAGGTGGATTTGAATATTACACACAGGCCTGCACACATGCGCACACGTGCCTGTGTACATGTCTGGATCCAGAACAAATCGCCAACTTACCCACTCATTGCTGAGCCTCTCCCATCAAAGGTAACTCAGACCCGGGGAATTCTCTCTTCCTCTCAGCATCTCTGTCTCTTCGCTTCTCTAAGCAATGACTTTCCCATGGGAATGAAAAAATGTGCCATTTCAGAGGGAGTTGGGTTTTGAGAAAATGTTTGATCTCCCTTAAGAGATACTTCTCTGAAGTTCTGCCAACCCTCGATTATCTGTACAAATGAGGCTTAGAAATAGTATGGATAGATTCAACTCACAGATACTCTTCAAACTTCAGTTGGGTCTCTATATTAGCTTCTTTCTGAACAAATTGTACCAGAGCAATTAACAAACAAAACTGATTGGGTGTTTCCTTTCTCCTTTTATGGTCAATCTTGTGCATGTCAGCAGAGTGAAGAAATTGTCAAAACACTGGCAGCCAGAGAGAGGAAAGGGAAGAAACAAAATACCCAGATAGTCTGCAAGCTGGGTATTCAGCTCCTGGATAATTGAGAAGAATCTAATTTCAAAGATAATAATAGACCCTGAGAGCAATTCCACATTGAATATACACAGCCCCTTCCCCAAAACAGATACTACCAAAACAACCAAAAACCACAAGAAAGGCTCCAACCTGCTATCCCCATCCATGTTTTCTCACTGGAATCTCTAAGAGCCCTAAGTTAAATTACCATTTAGGGAAGATCAAGGCAAGGAGGAGAAGGAGGCCTGAAGGATGAGGGACATTTATTATTTCTGATTTGGCCGGCTTCGTGGTCAGGGACCCATAGCAGTAGGATTGCTGTAAAAACTGTATAGGTCTGAGACTACAGAAATCCAGTGATGATGATGATATTATTATTATTATTATTATTATTATTATTTTAAGGAAAAACCAACATCCAAGAAAGGAACAACAATGATTCAGCAGTCTATTTTTTATTTAGTTCAAAGTTTGCGATTTCTTATTTAAAATATGCTCAAATGCATTTGGGACCAAAATGAGAAATTTGCTATTCTGTTTCCATTCAAGTCCAGCATTTGGAGTTTTTGGGTGAAGGAGAGAAAAGCGCCTAATGATCCCACACATGCACATGTTCTGGCCAGAGTCACTGACTACACTTATTTAGTTCTGCTTTAGAAATGAAAATCTAATAAAGTAACTAGCAGTTTAAATGTCACAGAAATTTTCTCCAGCATCCTAACTGGAATTGTGAAAACAGGCTCAAATTCCTCTAGTCTCCCCCCTCTTTCACCTCTGAGTGCCACGCTGCTGAGGCAAACCATTTCCTCAGAAATAGCAGAACTCGGTTGAGTTCAGAGGTCAGGGGTGCAGGGTGGGGAGAAGGAAGACTCTTTCTTCAAGTTGGAGGGGATTTGCTTTTTTCCACACTAAGGCAAGAAGGACCGGAATCTTGAGGCTGGGAATGTTCTGCCTCTTGCAAAGGAATTCAAAGGAGCCATTGTGTTTGATACTTTGCTCCCCAATGGCCTCTGACAGCAACATCAGAAGCAACAGATACTTCAGTTCTACATCTGGAAAGAGGCATTTTTTTTTACACAGTTAAAAAAAAAAAACACACTCCTGAAGACATTGAAGCCTAATTACTCTACATCCCATAGTCTTCAAGATTGAGATCTCTCTGATACTAGGTGATAACCCCTCAAAGAATGGAAGTAACCCCATTAGGATGAGAATGGATGACATTTCTATATTTCACCCTCAAAAAAACTGATAGTCAAAATAATCATATTGACTGGATGCTGTCATTTCCCCAGCTGTTGAACTGCAATGATCCTCATGTGGGATACAATGATACTATGTATTAAGCTACTAAATGGGAAAGAAGATCTTCACTAAAATGCAAGGGCTTTAGAATGTTCAGGACTAAGTGTCAGAAATTGGTTTAAGTTAAGCACCATTCCCTTTGCTTTTACAGAAGATGTGTATCACATCAAATCCTCATATTTATGGTGGGAACTTTAAAGTCCTGAATGGGCTGGATCTTAGCATTATAAATCCACTTTAAAAAAAGGGAAAGTATTTTTTCCTGGCAGCATGGTCATTGTATCCATGGACTTTGGGACTGCTACACAATATCCCTTAGGAGAGATTCCCCCAGTTTCTCTTGCCACTGTGACCCAAAGAAAGATTAGCTAATGGCAGAAAATAGAGTTTGGGGCAAGAGAAGCAAAGAGAAGCTTCAGTTTATCAGAAGAGGTTTATAAAATCTTTAGCAAGCTTAGAAGGCAAAGAAAGACAAATATCAAGAAAGCATCCTTTTCTCAAGTTCTAACCACAGGTGAAAAACGTTAGGAAATTTTAATTGATCTACTAATCAAGTCAAATCCTGAGCCTCTCCCAAGCCATTGGAAATGTCTCCGATTTTCTTATTCTCCTATTTTGATGGAAATTAAACTCATAAATCAATAAGAACAGAACCAACACTATATAAAAGCAGTCGTCCTTTGTCCCATTTCTCAACATACTGTATATCTAATTTCCTGCCCAAATGATTTAAGATTCCCAAATAAAAGTGAAAAAGATTAAGCTTGAGATATAGTTATAAAATCACCTAAATCACATTCTTGGTCTCCTATTGAAGGACATTTTAAAGTAGACATGGAGAATAATTATATAGCATTCTTGTGAAAAAAAAAAGATAGAGGCATACCCACAAAAAGCTCATGGAATTTTCAAGATGCCTGAATGACTGACAAGTGCCTCATACAGGAATAAGTATGTATTGGGTAAGTCTTGGGTAGACATGAGCAACATCAGCAAACCTATCCAACTTGTCTTTACATCCTTGGCTGTTTCTCCTCTTCCTTCTGGATATTTTATTTATTTATTTGCTTATATATTTATCTATCTATTTATTTATTTATACATACCTGTGTCATCTACTGTCTTTTCTTCTAACGTTTTATCATTAGTTATTTAACACTGGAGTACTACAACTAAAAATGCTGATTCCCATTATAGAAACTGTCACTCTCTCCTGTTCTTAGCTACCTTTCTCACTCTACTAATTAAGATTTTCCACATCTGGAGCATGATTAAGAGATGTGTAGCCATTCCTAGCCCATTCTAAGTGTGGAAATAATGGTGGTTGCTAAGAAACCCTGAAACAAATGCTAAGTAGAATGAAAGTATGACATTCTCAGTGAAGCCCAGAATCAACATTTAGAACAAGTATTATCCAATCCCTGATTGTTGAACTCTGTTAATCCTGAGACCTAAGGGGGCATCCAGGGCAACAATGTTTCTAAAAAGATCCTGGTCTGGTTCTTAAATTCTCCACTTTATGTCTTTGGCTACAGAGAAATTAGGCTAAATTTGGGTGATCTCATTTCCTTGTGACTTTGCAGTGTCTCATTCTTTTGAATACTTCTTTGGGGCTTTGCCAACATCTTCAATTTTCATTCATTTCATCACCAAGGCTAGTTTTTGGCTATAAAGGCTTATGCCAATTAAAGTCTCATTATGTAATCCTGTTGGAGGTTTCAGTCTTCCAGGAGAGTATTGACCATATGGCTCTATCTTGAGTGGTGAGTGGTTTCTCTCAGCCATAATCAGACTCAGGAGCACATCATTCCCAACAACATGTTTTCTTTTTTTCCAAGTGTCAAAATGTTAAATAGTTCAGTAAAATGGTATTTAATAAATCCTTGCACTAATCATCTGATTTAAAGTTAAGAAAGTAGAAACCTCATATATTTGACAAAGATAAAAACCAAAGATTGAAGACAAGAGAATGGGCAGGAATATATCTCTCCTGGGATTGTCACTCAGACGCAGACAGCCAACTCTTGCTGCCAATGGAAGAGGCACTAGGCAGATAGAGCTAAACCCTTAACATCAATGTATTTCAAAATCCTAACATTGCTGGGACTACTGACAGAAGATATCAACCCAATAGGTGTCAGTGAGTCCAATACTGAAATCAATGTCTTCTGATAGAAGCATTAAGGAATTCTCACATAATTGGTATCAGAGTAAAGAGAAGAAGAAAAAAATCACACAAAAGTGTACTCCACACCAGGGAACCCAATAGTGATGGCAACATGAAATCCAAATCAAATTACATAAACATGAAATGGAAATCTACTGCCCCCATAACTGGGAGGTACAAAGTGCAATCTAGCTTCAGTCATGACTCAAAACATCTCTTACCTCTACTTAATTCTGTATTGGCTTTAGTTATGGGTAAGAAATTTCCACCAGGTGGTAAAGAAAGTCACCAAAATCTTACTCAGATTTTAGCAAGGGCTCCTGGGGGGGGGGAGAGATGTCTCTCTTCTCAGGAATCAGGTCAAATTCCCAAAAGGATTCTGAAGAGCCATTCGAATCACTTGTTGATTGGGAAGCCTGAACATTTGATTGACATCCCTACCAGAGGCACAAGGAATGTGGGAAAGGCAGATCCCAAAGGAAAAGAGCCTTTTATCAGAAGAAAAAAGAACAGAGATGCCCTCACTTTGAACCTAAATCACTAGCAGAGACCTTGGGGAATTCATTGGTATCCCTTTGCTCTGTGGCAAAACAGCGTCTTACCTTCCCTCCAAGTTGCTGCAGCGCTACATGGATGACTGAGATCTGCTCAGCAGCTAGTAATGTGGTCTTGCCTGACATTACTGACCATCATGTAAATAAGTAGTTACTGACTTAAGAACTCACTATTTACTCAATAACCCTTGATGGGAACTGTGATCCCTTTACACGCTATTATAGAAGTATATAATTATAGACTTTTCAAACGGCTATTTCTTTCAGGCATTTGCCTGTAATAGCTCCTTCAAAGCTGCTAAGCTCTTATCATGTGAAGACCCAAGTAGAAAATATTTAGTTCACTCCTCATTTGACCTAATAGAGAACAGACTCATCTTTAAGATGGCACTCGTCTCCTGCCAAGAACACATGGGACAGTCTTGTTGGGCTTGTGGATTGGAGCAGGAAATCAAATTGCTATCAGATCACACTCACCTCATTTGGTAATTAAATACTGACACTGAATGATCATCAGTCACCATTTCTTCAGTCCCTCCTGGAGGAAGTCTTGTCACACGCACTTGTTCTGATTTTATTACCATCCAGGAAGAGTCCTATAAAAGTAAAATGCCAGGTGGGTCTGCTAGTTCCAGCGTATCTCATTACCCAAGCACAGGGTATAATTCTTACTCTAATGGAGAATAAGCTTTTTATGCATAGTAAATACTTTGGTTCCACAGAAGAAACCACAGCCAGGATTGGGAGATTAAAGAGATTCCTGTTCCTATTATGAGCTCAAGAAAATCGTGTGATATATGACGAGATGCAATGTACAGATGTTCCAGGACTTAGGATGAGGTTATGTTCTGAAACCCATCATAATTTGAGAAAACTGATTTTTTTTTTTTTTTTTTGCCCTGCTGGGGATTGAACCCAGGGCCTCGTGCATGGCAATGTAGCCAAGTTCTCTATCCCTGAGCTACATTCCCAGCCCTAACCCATTGTCATTTGAAAATATGGTGAGTAAAAAATGCAGTTAATACCCCTACAAGCAAACATACTATGACAATATATATCTGACACAATCATGAAATGAAATGGTATCACATTATGATTATGGACATACCCTGCTTGATTGGATCTCAAGATAGTAAAATCTGTTTAACTTGCTTAGTTCAAATCAACAAACTATCAAAAGTGTTTACAACTCTGCCATAGACACTAGATTAAGTGAGGGAGAGGCAAAGATAAATATAAAGTCTATTTTTATGCTTGCTCCCCTACATCAGGACTACTTTACTAGCTCCCTAACCTCCAATGCCATGACTCCTTCTCCAGACTTCACCACCTGGAACTTCTCCCCACGTCTCAGATAAAAGCAGCTCCTTTGGCTTCCAGCCTTGCATGTGCTGTTTCTTCTGATTAGAATTCTGCCTCCTTTCTTCTGCCAAGACCTTACTACAACATCACCTCCTTGGTGAAGCCCCTCATGATTCATCCAGGCAGAGCTAGCTACATACTGTTTTTGAAGCACATCCTATAAGCATCTATGTTTTACCATAATCATTTGCTTATGTGTTTTTCTCCCCCGCTACACTGGGAGCTCCCTAAAGTTTAAGATATTGTCTGATTCATGGCTGTCTCTTCAGGGCCTTTCCAGAAAGCCTGACACAAACCAGTCTCCAGTAAATTATTGAGTCATTTATTTGACCTCATACTTTCTGCAAAGAGTAACTACTTTGTTCCCCTGCAACCCTATTGTCCAGGCCTGAGAGGCAACTAAAAGAAGGATGCACATATCAGGGTTCAACCCACTGACGTCAGTGTTGTAATAGAGATTCAAGCAAAAAGTAGTGGATGGAGGGGACTCGGAGGTATGGGGAAAAGAAGGAGGAAGAAAGGGAAGAGAAGTGGAGATGGCAAGAGATGGAGGGACGGAGTTGCAGAAAAAGGTAACAGCATCTGGGAAGATAAGGTAAATAGCAAGTGAAGAAAGGAGAAACGGGCGTTAGTGTGGAGAGAGTCTAGGGATTGTGTGGAAGACACTGGGATGCTATTTAGAAAGCTTGGCTGGCATGGGACTGACCTTTGAGAGCTTAGATTGCCAAGCTAAGGAAGTTGCCTTTTGAACTGTGCAAAGATCTATGGAGGGGAGAGAGTGACATGGAAGCCTTTGATCACATCTGAGTTTAAAAGACCCATGGGAAAATTATGAAGTTTGAGGTCTTCAATGCTCAGAACCATAAAGTCATACCACACTTTTAAAGAATCCAGACTCCAACAACGTCAGTGAAACACAGGCCTCTCTGGCATGTACCCAATGGGGGAACAACTCCCAGGTGACCTGCCTGGCGCTCCATTATCTCCAGATCCTTTAGCAGACCAGGAACTCACTGTGGCCTCTGCCTGGGACTTGCTTCCCCAGGGGTTGTCAGGACTGATGCTCTTTTTCATTAAGGTCCCTACCATTTTAACAGAAAGACCTTCCCTAGTCACCATGTCAAAAAGAGGACCCTCATCACTTTCTCCTCTGTTCTGCTTTAATTTTCTTCAAAGAAATTATGACTACTTGACGGTACAGTATGTCTACTTATTCATTTCCTTATTATCATTTCCCAATATCTTCAAATTCAGGGATCATCAGCCTCCTTCTATAAAAGCCAGATAATAAGTATTTTAGGATTTTCAGGCCATTTGGTCTCTGTTGTTAGTATTCAACTTTGCTATCACGGGAGGTAAGCAGCCATAGACAATGGAAAAGATCAAAAAGCCTTAACTAACAAAAATAGGCTATAGGCCAGACTTGGCCATTGGCCATAGTTTGCTAACTCCTGGTCTAGTAGAAATTTCCATGAGGTCAACATGCTCCATGAGAACGCTGTCCTGCTCACTATTAGATCCTCAGGGCTTCACGTGTAGTAGGCCTTCGATTAGTCATTTTGTTTTCAGTGGTGGGATTGGACGCAGGGCCTCACACATTCTAGACATCCCCAACCCTCCAATTGGTAGTTTCTCAAAATGCATAAGTAAATGAAGTCCTATGGAAAACAGACAGGAATATAGAATTATTACTTAATAAGTGCACGCATGCACACACGTGCACACACATACACACATATTCTCCTGTGATGGTTAACTTCATGTGTCCAGTTGGCTGGACTGTGGTGCCCAGATATGTGGTAAACATTGTATGTTTCTGTGAAAGTGGTTATTGAATAAGATTAACATTTAAATCAGTGGAATCTGAGTGACACAGATTGCCCTCCAGAATGTGAGTAGTTCTTATTCAATCAGTTGAAGGCCTGCATAGAACAGAAGACTGACACACACACACACACACACCACCCTCACCCTCCTCCACTCCATCCCTCATCAAGAGGAAATTCTGCCAGCAGATGGCCTTTGGACTTGAATGCAACACTGGCTCTTCTGTCTGCTAGCCCACTCTGCTGATTTTGGATTTGCCAGCCTCCATGGTCTCATTAGTCAGTATCTTAAAATCAATCAATAGATGAGAGATAGACAGAGACAGGCCATCTCCTTGGTACTGTTTCTCCGGAGAACCCTAATAAACTCATGTAGCAGATTTAC